TTTTTTTTTTTTTTTTTTTTTTTTTTTTTTTTTTTTTTTTTTTTTTTTTTTTTTTTTTACTTTTGTTACAACTTCCCTTTTATAATGATGAGGTAATGAACAGTAGGAGGTCTCTAATGTAAACTGTACATTTTGAAATGTCTCTTCTCTAGAAAAGTCACATCCAGAAAAGTAATTTTAGTACTTAATGTGTGCAGTTCAGACCATTTTCTATGTCAAAGCAAAGGTTGATGTCTTTTTTCCTTTGCAGCAGCCTAACTTCTTCAAACAAATTAATATGATGGAGGATCACCAACATAATGACTTAGCTATTTTAAGCAGTTCAGAAACTACTCCAGTAGTGTCAATAACAGAGACTTTAAAGCCAGAATGTTGTTTAAAAACATTCTGTTACTAAGATTTTTCCCAATTTGTGTATTTACATTTATTTATTGACCTTGAAAAAATAAATATGTCAAGCTAAGTGTTTGTTATTATTTTCAGTGGCAGTATTGCCACTTTCCTTTTGGAACAAATCTAGCTGTTGTGGTTATGGAATACATCTCTTTGCCTCAGATACTTGCTCTTATTAGAAGAATTCATGTAACATTTCCACTTTGAGACAGATGTGCCTGAAACCCAATATTCTGCAGTAACAGGAATTATTGCCATTTGGTCACAGAGGAGGAGGAGTTAAATGCAATGCTCATCATGGAGTTGGGACTCCCAGACAATTCAGTTTCTCTCACAATAACAGAGAAAAGGGTTTCAGGGTATCTGAGATGGCAGGCATTCTATGGAAACAGTCCTCTGTTAATATCCTTTTTTCTTTACAGGTCTTGAAGCTTTGGAAAAAAAAGTAAAGAATTCCTGAAATCTAGGGCATTGTTCTGCACAAGTTGAACATTTTAGTAGCAAAACTTACAAGCAGATGAGCTTCCTAATACCCAAAATGAAAGACAGCTGGAAACTTAATTTATGCCCTACTGAGACTAACCATTCCAAAAGCAAATGTCACACAGGATCAGCAAAACCGAACAGAGTTGCTTTTACCTGTATAACAGTGAGCTTGGAAAACAATATTGCACAATATAGTAGTCATGGAGTACCAGAAAAACAGTATCTACTTCTGTTTACTTAATTTGCCCTTTTTTTTCAAGCTTATGTTCTGGCAAAAGGGTACAGATTTATACCTTAAATCTGTTTATACACTTTAGCATGCATATTCTCCAAATACCTACATAATATATATGGAAGTGTCCAGAAAAGTAGAGTAGAGCTTGTTTTCCACTAGATAGCAGCTAGCACAGAAAACAGAATCATAGAATTTTGTTTGTTGCATTATAGCTGTGACATATTAAAAAAAAAAGCTACATCCACGTATTCTTAAAATTAGCAAAAACCTGAGCACTACCGTAGCGATAAATGTTTTTTAAGGCACTTTGTAAATGCTCCAATACCCCCCTTTTCTTGTGACACTTGTGGAATTGGCCACCCCACAAAGCAGATCCAAGGGAAGATTGTAACACCAGAGGATGAAATCGGCATTCCTGACAATTCACTTAAACACAATGCAAAAACCTGTGGTTTGTAGCTGTCCATTAATGTAACAACTGCTGTGTCCAGAGCGTCCCTCAGAGCTGCCCTGCTGGGTCCCAGGCCCAGGAGCTCCAAGGCAAGCACAGGCTCTGTGTGAGCAGAGGGAGCTGTGTGTGTGAGCAGGGCTTGCCAGGCAGTCTCTCCCTCAGCTGGTATTTCACATTATTGTCGTGTTCCTTCAAACTTGTATACACAAGCTCTTGAAAACAATTTTTCCAGTATGTAATAAAAGGCAGTTTGAGTTCTTGAAATGCAAATTTTTTTGTGCACTCAGCAGGAAATAGTCGAGTAAAAGGTGAAGCTGATGTACTTTTAACTGAACCTGTCTTCTTTCCTGCTACACTAGTTCTGTAACCCAAAGTCAGCTCATTGCTTGGATCAGCTCTTGGCAGTAGGATGCTTATTAGAGAATCTATACAAGCTCCATCCTTAAATACAACCTACTGAATTAAGAGCTTCTTTATTTTATATAAAAGTAGACTTTTAAAAAGTTGTAACCTTAAACAGCAGGTGCCTCAGGAAATTCACATTAATAGGTGCAGTATCCTCATTAGAAAGCATCTTAGAGAAGAGCAAAATTAACAAGCTGTAGTTTGGCTGCAAGGGAGTGCTCACATTCCTTCCACCTGTTCTGTGACAAACAAGACCTCGGTCACAAGGAAAATCGAACACTGGAAGGTGTTCCTATAGTCCAGTGCCAGCAACTGTTAAGTGCAAGGACCGACAATGGCAGTTCCTGTTGTGATGAGTTCAGGTCCTTTTGTTATTAAGCATAACTGCAACAGACTGTTAGTGCTGAGTGGGAACACTGAGTGACACCTTCTCACACAAAATCCCATACACAGATCTCTCTCTGGTGTTCATTCCAGAGTGTTTCTGTGTAGCTCCTTATTCACAGCTTGTTCTTATCGTTGTCCAGTAGAAGAGCAAAGGATTTAATCTCAGCTGTCACCTGCTTTGATGGGAAAGAAGTGCACGGGGAAATGCTGAGGAGGAGAGAGAGGCTGGAACATAAAAATCTCTATGCTACCTCTTGAGATGGTTTAGGGATTTGTCCTTAATTTTGCTGTTACTTTGGACACAAATAGCTGTGGCACAGCTTGCAGGGGCCAGATTTTCTCACCTAGGTAATGCCCAGCACGCTCATTTCCGAGAGGGTTGGCACTGTATGCACTGCACTTCACTCTGTCACACTTCACAGGCAAGATGAGCTGTTCTGACCCTCGAACAAGTCAAAATATTTTTATTAAATGTCAGTTGCCTACTGTTCAGTGTTGGTCCGTGTCAGCTCCTCTTACTCTGAGCTCTCTTTATGTGGCTCTAGAGAACTTGCCTTCATCATTCCTTCTCTGCTTTGTAGGATTACTTGTGTCCATGGAGAAGCTTCATGTGCTGAAAGGGGCAATTCCTTGGTTTTCAGGGTTAAAACCTTTAACACTCTAGTTAATTATCATTAGAAAGTCAAGATCCCATGCTTGCCTCTTTGGGCAGCACACAAAAATTTCCAACAAACTAGAGCTAGGTTTGAGAAATCTGTAGGGAATGATTCACGTGAAGTTCCAGCACTCCAAATAAGTGAAAAGTTTGCCAGCTTAGTATGAACAGCACCCTTACAAATAATGCTTTATAACAGTATGCTAAAAACAAAGGCAGCTGCTGCTCTCAGTGGGATCTGTTGATGTAACACGAGCTCAGGCACTGCAGATGCTCCCATCTCAGCCCACTCGTGCATTCAGGGGAGCAGGGGCTGCTGGTGTGTCTGTAGTTTGTTGAGGCCAAAAGAGAAGGAAATAGGGTTGTTTGAAACAGTCAAACACTAAGCCAAATGTACATAACAGATCCTGGGGGTGGACAGGGACACAAACTCAGCCAAGTTTTATTATTTTTTTTAGTTGCTCCCTAGAGCTGCCCTTTAGTGCTGACCCAAGTTCAGTTTAGGTCCCATCCAGCATAAGTGAAACAAATCTGGGGAGTGATCCACCAGTGTCTCCTGAGCCCAAGCCTTTAGCTCAGATAAACTGAGGTTCTCCATCACAGAGCTGGATGGAATAATGTGATGCTTAGTTTGTCTCCAAGTTCATGCTCTCTTTTCTTCTTGAAGCCATTAGTAAAACTTGCACAGGCTTTTTGAGTTAAAACTGCAGCTGTAGCTTTTCAAAGTTAATGTTATGCCAAGCAGTTTGGAAAATTTCACCTCAGTTTAGCTTTTTTTTTTTTTTTTTTTTTTTTTTTTTTTTTTTTTTTTTTTTTTTTTTTA